CAAAAAAAGTGTTCTGAAATTCCCATTCTTCACAATGTTATCCATAATTTGTTACGATCCACACAGTCGAATGCCTTTGCATAGTCAATAAAACACAGATAAACACCTTTCCGGTATTCTCTGCTTTCAGCCAAGATCCAATTGACATCGGCAATGATATCCGTTGTTCCATGTCCTCTTCTAAATCCAGCTTGATCTTCTGGCAGTTCCTGTCGATATACAGCTACAACCATTTTTGAATGATCCTCAGCATAATTTTACTTCCATGGGATATTAATGATATTGTTCGATAATTTCTGCATTCTGTTGGATCACCTTTCTTTGGAATGGACATGTATATGGATCTCTTCTAATCAGTTGGCCAGGTAGCTGTCTTCCAAATTTCTTCGCATAGACAAGTGAGCGCTTCTAGTGTTGCATCCGTTTGCTGAAATATCTCAATTGGTAAACCGTCAATTCTTGGAGGCTATTTTTCGCCAATGCCTTCAGTGCAGCTTGGACCTCTTCCTTTACTACCATCGGTTCTTGATCATATGCTACCTCCTGAAATGGTTGAATGTTATCCAATTCTTTTTGGTATAGTGACTCTGTGTATTCCTTCCATCTTCTTCTAATGCTTCCTGCGTTGTTCAATATTTTGCCCATAGAATCCATCAATATTGCAACTAGAGGCTTGAATTTCTTTTTCTGTTCTTTCAGCTTGAGAAATGACAAACATGTTCTTCCCCTCTGGTTTTTTAACTCCAGGTCTTTGCACATTTCATTATAGTACTGTCTTAGGCTGGGTTCTCTGGAGAAGCAAAACCAGTGCAGTGTATAAATATATATAGAGAGATTTATATAAGAGAAATGGCTCACACAGTTGTAGAGGGTGGGAAGTCCCAAGTTCGTGGGTTGGGCTGGAGGCTTCTCCTGATTCATGTAGCCCCAGGTGTTGGTGCATCCAAGATTGGAAGGTCAGATAGCAGTCTTCTGGCTCACAGGCCTCATAGGCTGTGGAGGCCAATGAATCCCAAGATTGGTAGGTAAAACGCCAGGTAAGCTGCTAGCTCCAGTCCCAAGAACCAGACGTCAGATGAACAGGAGCCAGCTGCAGTTTCCAGAGTGAGCAAAAGCCAGTGAGCCTTGCCAGAAAGTCTACCTATACTGGATGCAGGCCACATCCCCCAAGGAAATTCCCTTTCAACTGATTGGCTGCTCACAACAGATCCCATCATGGAGGTGATAACATTATATCAGATCTCATTATGGAGGTGATTACATGATTAAAAAGCCAAACTATATCATAACTGCCAAACCACTGAGGATCATGGCCCAGCCAAGCTGACACACAACTTTACCCATCATAAATACTTTACTTTGTCTTCACAGGCTGCACTTTGAAATCTTCTGTTCAGCTCTTTTACTTCAGCATTTCTTCCTTTTGCTTTAGCTACTCTACATTCAATAACAAGTTTCAGAGTCTCTTCTGGAAGTCATTTTGGTCTTTTCTTTCTTTCCTGTCTTTTTAATGACCCTTTGCTTTCTCTATGTATGATGTCCTGGATGTCATCCCACAACTCACCTGGTCTTTGGTTGTTACTGTTCAATGCGTCAAATCTATTCTTGAGATGGTCTCAAGTTGTACTTTGGCTCTCGTAGGCTTGTTTTAATTTTCTTCAGCCTCAGCTTGAACTTGCATATAAGCAATTGATGGCATGTTCTGCAGTCAGCCCCTGGCCTTGTTCCAACTGATGATATTGAGCTTCTCTACTGTCTCTTTCTATAGATGTAGTCGATATGATTCCTGTTATTCCATCTGGTGAGGTCCACGTAAATAGTCGTCAGTTATGTTGTTGAAAAAAAGGTATTTTCGATGAGTAAGTCATTGGTCTTGCAAAATTCTATCATGCGATCCCCAGCGTTGTTTCTGTCACTAAGGCCATATTTTCCAACTACTGATCCTTCTTTGCTTCCGCTTATGAGTCCCAATCACCAGTAATTATCAATGCATCTTGATTGCATCGTTGATCAATTTCAGACTGCAGAAGTTGTTAAAAACCTTCAATTCATTTTTGGCATTTGTGGTTGGTGCATAAATTTGAATAATAGTCGTATTAACTGGTCTTCCTTGTAGGCATATGGATATTATCCCATCACTGACAGCATTGTATTTCAGGACAGATCTCGAAATGTTCTTTTTGACAATGAATGCTACGTCATTCCTTCTCAATTTGTCATTCCCAGCTGCCTTCATCATCTAGCACTGCTATAACAGAAATACCACAAGTGGATGGCTTTAACAAAGAAATTTATTTTCTCACAGTCTAGTATGCTAGAAGTCCAAATTCAGGGGAAGGCTTTCTCTTTCTGTTGGCTCTGGCGGAAGGTCCTTCTCATCCATCTTCCCCTGGACTAGGAGCTTCTCTACACAGGAACCTCAGGTCCAAAGGACGCACTCTGCTCCTGGCACTGCTTTCTTGGTGGTATGAGGTCCCCCTTCTCTCTGCTCGCTTCTCTCTTTTATATCTCAAAAGAGATTGGCTTAAAACACGATCTAATCTTGTAGATATCATCAACATAACTGCCACTAATCCATCTCATTAACATCATAGTGACAGAATTTACAACTCATAGGGAAATCACATCAGATGACAAAATGGTAGACAATCATACAATACTGGGAATCCTGACCTAGCCAAGTTGACACACATGTTTTTTGTGGGACACCATTCATATGGCATAATAGGCCATATGATTATCTGATTCAAAATGGCCAACATCAGTCCATTTCAGCTCACTAATGCCTAGTATATCAATCTTTATGTGTTCCATTTCATTTTTGATGATTTCTAATTTTCCTTGATTCATGCTTCATACATTCTATGTTCCAATTACTCATGGATGTTTATAGTTGTTTCTTCTCATTTTAAGTTGTGCCACACCAACAAATGAAGGTCCCAAAAGCTTTATCCACACCATTAACATCCACTCTACTCTGCAGTTAGAATCCACCAGTGGCTCCTTGGAAACCCTATGGAGCAGTTCTACTCTGTCCTATAGGGTCGCTATGAGTCGGAATCGACTCGAGGGCAATGGGTTTGGTTTTTTTGGTTTTCTACTTTGCAGAGGCAGCTCTTCCCCATTTGTATTTTGAGTGCCTCCCAACCTGAGAAGCTTATCTTCCAGCACTACATCAGCCAGTGTTCTGCTACTATCCGTAAGGTTTTCACTGGCCAACCTTTTTCAAAAGTAGGCTGCCAGATCATTCTTCCTAGTCTGCCTTAGTCAGGAAGCTCTACTGAAACCTGGCCACCACGGATGACCTGCTGGTATTTGAAATACTGATGGCATAGCTTCCAGCATCACAGCAAGACGTAAGCCTCCACAGTACTACAACCTGACAAACCAGTGGTAGGGCGCTAAATATACCCAGGTATAACCATATTATGGGGTACTATGATGTCTTTTAAAGCACTGATGTTCTGGGGGCAGAGAAGAGTCATTCTCAGGAGTTCTAAGGATGATCATTACTTTTGAGGTATGTGAGGTTAAAAAGCAACATTTTTTATAACAAAGAGAAAGAGGCCAATCCAGATATGGAACTTCTCCTAGGCAAAGCAAATCACTGCACTACCCAAGGTGCCTTTCCTATACCTTGTAAAGAATAATAATAATAATGACATACCACCATACAGCATGTACTGAACAGTTACTCTGAACCAGGTATTGTTTAAAATGCCTTAATCTTTACAACAGCCTATGTGGTGGAAACTGTTATTATCCCTATTTTACGGAAGAGGAGACTAAGGCCCCAAGATGTTAAATAACTTTCCTTAAGTCCCACACAGCTGGTGAGCAGCAGAGCCAGAATTCACACCTGGGCAATGTGGCTCCAGAATATGTGATTTTAACCATTCTGTTCTACTGCACATCATTTAACATACTTATGTCTATGACAACACACAGACTTACAATGATGCATTCACATGTCTACTTCACTTACTCAATTTTGAACTCCTTAAAGACAGGGTGTTAAATAATCTTCCCAGTCCCTGGTAGACATTGTTTAAACGTTGGCTACATGAATGAATAGCCTTGGTATTTGCATGTGATTAAGTAATAATAATAGTAGCAGCAGCTCTCAGTTATTGGCTCTTCCCTTGCTCCTGGCCTTGTGCCAGACACTTAAATGCATCATTTCATTTAATCCACCCAACTTCCCTATGAGATGGGCACTATTATCTATATGTGGCAGATGAGCAAACTGAGGCTCAAAGAAGGTAGGTGACTTTCCCAACCTGTGGCACTGCACAAGAACACAGGCCTGACTGACTTCTTCGGGCAGAGCTTGAGCACTCAACTCCTCTACTATACCACTCAACTCTCCACAAAAGCTAAAACAACACTTATATTTTAGGTCCCAGCAACTGATCATTGCAAAGAACTCAGGGATCCTGAGATGAAAAAAGATTTGATACAATTATGGTGATTACACTCGGCTTGTCAGGACAGGAGTGGTATTATTCTCTAATTAACTCTTTAATTAATTTCAGCTATTCATTAAGGCACGGTGGTAGGTGGAGCAGTCAGGCGAGCAAGACAAGGTCCTGCCCTCCCAGAGTCACGTTCCAGTGGGACATATGACTCACACTAATAAGTGCCCAATTACACACTGAGAAAAGGAAAGGAAAGTGGCTCTTCGGAAGCCACTAAAAAAACTGGGGTTGAAGGATTGCTTGAGCTGAACTTTTATTGTGCAGCAGGATGAAAAAGGCTCAGTTATTTGTCCACAGATCTATGATCACTGGCCCTTGCCTTTCATTCTCAGCAATATTGCTTCCTGTCCTATCAGGGTCACTCAGCGTTGGAGCCTGGGAAGGCACAAAGGCACACAGTTCTGAAGACCACAGAAGGCCAGCAGCCCACTGAGACAGGCCGGAGGCGTCCACCCCAAGCGGCAGGGAGGCAGTCGGGGATGTCCCCTGAGCATCATGCCAGCCCTGAGCAGCGGGACTCACGTTTCTCTGTGGACTGCACAGTGTGGAAGAGCGTCAGGGGCCTCTCGCTGCAGGATGGGGGCTTGGAGTCACTGCTCTTCTTCCGAGACAGGTGCAGCTGGGCATTGCTGAGCGGTGCATCCGGCACAGTGTTAAATATCTGCAAAGAGAGTTCATAAAAAGGTCACACACTTCTGTGAATTGAGAAGGTACACACCTGAACTAGCACAACTGAAGCCTTGGAGGCATCTTAAAATCAGCAAGAATAGATCTAAAAAGACAACCAGCATTTAATCAGTACTTTATTTTAAACATCTCTAGGAACTGGCATTAAACATTCTCTTTTGGAGGCTTATCCCAGAGCTCGGGAAACATTCACTTCCATTTATAACTACCCCTGCTATAATTTCAACTCACCTCACTTTTGCTGTTCTCTTCAGGGAGATGTAAAGCAGCTGTGCTAAGTATAAGCCACTGACTATTAAAACTACTTACAGTTTGTTTGTTTTTTAATTTTTATTGTGGTGAAATACATCTAACAAAATATTTGCCATTTCAACCATTTTTACATGTACAATTCAGTGACATTAATTACATTCACCATGTTGTGCAACAATCACTACTCTGATTCCAAATTTTTCCAACATCCTTAACAAAAACTGCAGTCCTTCAGTACTTAAAGCTTTTTGACTGTCTTTGTCCAGAATGAATTAATCAAAATCCCTTCACTTTTCCTCATCGGTTCTGTTTCCTAATTCTTGACAATTGCTTCACAAACTTCTTAGAATGTGCAGTGTATAGTTAAATAACATTCCGAAAAGAACCATTCAAATCCCAAGCAGCGGCACCATTTCCCAGCCCTCGTCAGCTATCTCAGACGGCACAGCCTTTTATGATCAGCAGCTCTCTGTTAGCTTTGATGCTGAGCTTTCCTTTTCTTGTCTAAAAGGGGGAGAAACATTGTTCTTTTCTCCCGTGATGACAAAAGTAACATATAAATATTACATTTTTTTAAAATTTAGAAAAGTACCTAGAAGAAAACAGAAAAGCTCCCCAAATTCCACAATGTAGACATAATCAATGCTAGCATTTAGAGTTAA